TACGGAAATATTTCAGCACCCCAAAGAGTTGGACTTAATTCCAAATGAGCACATACTCCTGAAAAGTGTGCTTTATTCCAAACATATAATCAATGNTAATTTTTTTTCATTGAAGGACGGCTCTGAAGAGAAACAACCCACACCTTTCCTATCCATGTCCTCCTGAATGTCCCTTTCATCGAGCTGGGACTCGGAAAGGGTCCTCTTTTTCCTTCGCTTCAACTCGAAGAATGATGGCCATAATTTACGCATAGGGCACCTGCAACAGAATCAGATGCGTCGATATTGATAAAACAAAAAAACTAGTTGTGCTACCTTACAGGGACGAAATCATTGAGATGAGGAATGTCGGTGCTGAAAAGCTGCAAAGCAAACTTCCTCTTCTCTTCTAAGCTCAATCGTTGAAGATCAAACGTAAGGCAAGGAGCGTAGAAGAACATCTAGAACATTCTCAATCAGAACATAATATTGGATTCCGAAAATTTCTGTACGTACCTGCATATAGAAATCGATCACGAGGCCAATGGATGCAAACATACAAAATTCCTGAATCTCTGCAATTCGGGTTGCATAGCCAATGGCGAGAAAGGAAATTTCCATGACAAAGTACTTGCATAATGAGTACCCTTCTTGCGCCAGACCATGGGCAATACGCGAAGACACATCCAACGTTGGTGGCGTATACACAACAGCCCTAGCAAAGCAGTGGAAATCAATAGGGTTGATGTAAATATGCAGTGGCAATAGAAACCAATTGAAAAAAAAAACTGGAGCGTACCGTGTTATGCAAAGTGTATTTTCAAGCCCTAATATTAGAGCTATATACGGAAATATTTCAGCACCCCAAAGAGTTGGACTTAACTCCAAGTGAGCACATACTCCTGAAAAGTGTGCTTTATTCCAAACATGTAATCAATGGATTCATGCACAAGTATTGAAATATTCGATTTCATAGCTATTGACTTGATCTCAACGACACAAACCATTTTTGAAACTCTCAAAGAAATTGCAGACAACTACGAGTCCTGAACTTTTGTTATTGTTTTCGATTCCGGCAGCTATGTGCCTCGTTCTTCGGAGGACGGATCGATGCCGTAACACCGAAGGCTGCCGCCTCAACAGTGCATTAGCCACATGACTTCCGTCTACACCTTTGTCATTCATTGTTCCGATTGGTAGTATGATCATAAAAAGTCAATGCAACGGGATTTCATTCAAAAACAAACTTCTGACCCACTCCCCTTAACAAAAAAAAGAACAAGTTAGACATAAAACCACTTCTTCCTTAAAAACACTCAGAAGAAATAGAAATCAGCGTCAACTGCAATAGGAGAAAACGCTACAAATCACTGCCGACAGGTGTTTGTGCAGGTTGTTTGCTCGACTAAGCCGGTACATACACACCTAAGAAGTAAAATGGAGGCGGAAATTGCAAGGCAACCACATTGTTAACCTTCCATCTCAACAACAAGGTCTGTTTCTTCCCATCAATGAACATATGTTTTTCCTGACAGCATTGAACAGGCGTAAAGAAAAATTCGAAGGACCAGATACTCTTAGAGGAGATTAGTTGTCTCCATATTGCCAGATCACTAACTGAATCATTATCACACTTTAGCCAGCTGGACGAACATGGCTGATGCACTAGGAAGAGTTACAAAGAGTAAGGAACGAAGGGCTTAGAAAACTAATTTGAACAGAGTGGGATTTTAGGCTTAGCTGGCGATGGCATAGCAAACGACTCCTTGCTCAAACAGAATCAAAAAGATTAGCTCTACTTCCATGAGGACAAAGAAATTGACGACTTTGTAGAAAGAAAGCATTGGATCATATACACATCAAAAAGGGAAGTTGGAAAAACATACTGACTTGTTAGAAACTTCAGCCCATCATCTCCATCAGAAGAGTAGAAGGTCGGTACATAGACTTTACAAAGGAATAGACGGGTGAGGGGAAGCGACTTTCGAAGGAAATGGCGAGCTACTCGCAGGCATTAGAGGGAGATACAACCCTACATATTGTAGTGCACGCGAAAATCTACGGCTGCGGTCATTGCCAAGGAAAAAAAAACACGGAGGCGAGAGACTGGACGGATGCAAAGATACCGTTACACGATCCGAGAGAGCGCCACATCGGGCTAGTATAGCAGATGCTATAGCATATAATCGCCGAACCAACCATACCGAAATTTAGAATGCGCATGAAACAAGGCAGTTGGTTTCCTGCAATGTTCTGTGAACGATAATAGTGGGGAACCCGAAAGATGGAAAGGCCTAGGATAATGTACGATAACAACAGAGTTTTGAAAACGGATGTCAAGATTGATGCACATGAAGAGGGATATAATTCAACATATGGACACGACACCGAATCCTCCGTCTCAGACGAAAGGATATCCGCTTTTTGCTCAAACTCGCAGATGATTTTATGTGATATTCGATAGAAGGTATGCAAAGTGAAGAGCAATAATCAGATGGGTTCATAAAATATGAATCAACCTGCACATGTTTCTAGACAAGGCAACAAGTGACAAACCGGTAGTCATAAGAAGAGTCGCTCCGACAGCAAAAGCAGCAGCAAATGCTAGACTCCAACGAGACGATACCATTTCAAATTTTCTTGCAGAATAGTACAAATAGAACTGGAAATCCCAAAGGTTACTAATAATATACATACACATAATATCTATTCAAAAAACAAGCTAGAAAAAAATGATACCGTAAAAACTGCATAGGAAGTAAGCAGAGGAAGATAGCCGGCGAAAGCCTTGCGATTCCGATAGAAAACGTGAACGAATTGGCTTTCTGTTTCCGCCGACAACGGCAATGAATCAAATTCGTCTCGTGAAGAAAGACTATTGAGCAGTGATTTCCTCATGCCAGAATCGTATTGAGCAAAAAACAAAGTGAGTGAGAAATCGATATCTAAACTGGCAGATAAAGCCGACTAGTGGTAAAATTGACCTCCAGATGATGATGCAGAAGACTAACCACGCTTCCTATTGCTTCTGTAGGCCGGTTTAATGCCGGTGAATACAGTGGGCATTCCTAGAAAAACGTCTCGCAGACACATTACAGATGAGCATTCCCGTGAGAAAATAGTCATTAAGACGTCAGAGTCCTAAAGAGTAAGAGCTAACGCAGGCCCTTTCTCAGTTTCATTGTCAAGAATGATCGAAAACTTTTTTCTAGCGATGATAAGTGACAGTCGACTGAGACAGCATACCAACACGCATCGTATATCACAAAAAAGGGCTGAATGAACTAAAGGTACAAAGACTTTATAAAGCTGAAATGGAAAAAAGATGTCAAAAGCGCACCTCCTGAAACTTCTCCAAGGAATTCTGCCAGAATGCTGTCGGATCCAGTATCAAACAGCCGCGATGAAATGGAGAGCCTGACAGTGTGTCTTCATGACTCACTTGGAGGCACGTTGCATCAACAGTTCCATGGTTAAGAATAATGTTTCTCGCAAGGAACGCTCGAGAAAGTGGTCCCCGAACAGCCTTAAAAGGAGTACTTGTTAAGGCAGAGTCAATGTCAACTAGTCAGAAGAGGCATGCATTTTTCTATACTTTGAGGAAAATTGAAAACAGGAGGCAAATAGACTGAAGGGGGCAGGTCATAAGATTATGAAGAAGAGCAATTAAAAGAAGGTTAACCTGTTCAGGAGTCATATTATGGGAAACCCACGGGTCCACATTCCCGCGAATAATAATTTGTTGTAAGAAAGCAGCTGGTGCTCCGCGTAACCATTCAGGAGACCGTTCCCCTATAACGAGAAGCTATCGACCGGACACTGAACTCAAAGAATGGTAACGTACCTGAAGTTGTATATACTTTGTCATCCCAATGAACGTCAATAGGACTGCTAGCTGCTAGACGAAATTTTGTAAAAGTTGGGTAGGATAGCATCACCATTGTAATAAGCGACATCGATAAACAAGCAAAAGGATGTGCCGAGCATAGTCTGAATGACTTACACATAGGAGTTTGACAAGAAAAAAAAAAAGAAAAACAAAAGCGATTATTCCATATTGTGAACGAACAACGGACCTTCCATAGTCATGGTAAGCTTGAGCTACGCGCTCACGTAGTGTGGTCGAACGGTTTCTAGGGCGCTGCATTCTCAGCTCTTTTCATGCGTGTTTGAACATTAACCTTGAATATTCGCCTCACATCGATTTTCTACCAAAACGACTCATTGAATATGGTCGGCACTAAAAAACACATGTTCTTCTTTTCTATAATCAATAAACATATTTCTCATTAGTTCCCGCATGACAAGGATCTAGAAGGTGGATTAGTCTTGTTCATCTGGCGTCTCGATATCCTCAAGTCTCTCATGAAGATTAAATCCGAATAAATCACATTTGAACTGTGATGCCGCTATCATAATGACCGCTTCGATTCATGACGAAAAGAATTTCTCTATTATCTCTGGGATTCAAAAAAGGCATGAGTTCTGTAAGTATGGTCATTTATGACAAAGATGGGAAGTAGTTATGCTTTCACTTCTACAACTATGCGAATTACCTAGCCAAATACATCCTGAGTAAGCGGTTGCACTTTCTATTCTCTCACAACCATGGTTCTATCTAGAGCACCCCTACTTCAGACAGGTCGTCATCCCTTCTAGGCATGCCTCCAGAATCGTTTTCCTATCTTGACCTGGAAGAAGGAATGTATACAGAACACGAAATGCTTCGATCCTTTTCCTGCCACTTAAAAAATTGAGAGAAATAGTTCGGATCACAACTATGCATAGACGAGTANATAATGACCGCTTCAATTCATGACGAAAAGAAATTCTTTATTATCTCTGGGATTCAAAAAAAGGCATGAATTCTGTAAGTATGGTCATTTATGGCAAAGATGGGAAGTAGTTATGCTTTCACTTCTACAACTATGCGAATTACCTAGCCAAATACATCCTGAGCAGGATGTTGCACTTTCTATTCTCTCACAACCATGGTTCTATCTAGAGCACCCCTACTTCAGACAGGTCGCCATCTCTTCTAGGCATGCCTCCAGAATCCCTTTTTCCTATCTTGACCTGGAAGAAGGAATGTATACAGAACACGAAATGCTTCGATCCTTTTCCTGCCACTTAAAAAATTGAGAGAAATAGTTCGGATCACAACTATGCATAGACGAGTAGGTGCTGAAGTTTTTCTTGAAATCAAGAACGCGTACTGCGACATTGATACATAAATGCCAGTCTCTCCAACCATAATGATATCCGAACTTACCAGGCGATCACAAGTTCCCATGATTCAAGTCACTACATATGTTCAAAAAATACAACGAGACATCAGTCGTGACATCTCACAAATACCTTGCATGCATGTAACAACTGGCCCTCAATATAGAAAAATTCCCAACAACTTTTTATTCAAATTGCAATAGAAATTCAACAACAAATAGAATGTGGATAGATGAAACAACAATGGAAACAGCGTTTGGAAGTCTCATTTTCAGAAAAGAACCAGAAACGGCATACATGTTCTTAGATAATTCAACCTAACCACGAAACCAAGGTACACGCCCTTGGGCATTCAATTCAAGCGTTCAATATCAAAGAAAATGTCTGTCATTACCGAAAGCTGGACCACTCGAGTTTAGGAAACATTACCTTAAGTCAGACCTTACAACCGAAACGCGCTGCTATGCTACCATGAGAGCAGGGCAACTGCTTAATTGTGCAGTAGCCGCGCCTTGTTTGGAGCATTAATCGCATTAAACGACTGAATTAATGGCATCAGATGGGATAGAGAAACTATTCAACATATATCAATTTAAATATTTGTCATTCTTTCGTGCACTTGGAGCTGAGTAGTCGTAAGATTGGCCAAATATGAAATCATCATATAATCCTGAATTATAAGATTGTTATGGGAGAAAGAATTAGTGAACATATTAAAGCATACTGTACATACCCTGAGGCTGTTCTTGACCAGACTATCCAATTTTTCGGTCTGCATATGTGTGGCTGCCGTGTTGACAATATCCATCAATCGACGGCCCATCGTTGCATCAGCAGGAAGTTCATCTCGAGATGTGACTTCGTTGACATACCTTCAATGATGGACAGATTTGATGCTTTTCAAAAAAAAAAGGGATTTTGACGAACTCTAGCAGCCGTTCAAGCCATTCAATTATTTGTGCTATACTCCTTTCGAGTTGCTCAAGTCCATTTTCCATTGTAACTTCACGACGTCTTGAATCCAAAGCATTCTGAACAAGGAACAATATTTTGCCTTCCTCATTACAAATCTAAACATACACAAGATCTAATACCTACCTCAATCAGCTGCATAGCAACACATTCTCCTGGAAATGCATCGAGCTCTACACGGAGAGGATTGAATATAGCGCAGTGAGGATCACGTGCACGAGGAATTCCAGCCATTGTCCTACAAACCCATTTAATCACACAGTTCTTGGATATTATTTTAGCAAACAGAACAACTCCAACCTGAGGTATGCTCTCATGGGTACACGATATTTGTCATCAGTACTTGTGAATGTTGTATCAAGTGTCAACAGAATGAGAGGTGGAGATTCCTTTCTAGATACCTGAAAAAGATACAGTGCAGTCGAATGCATCAACTGAAATTATGCTCTTACACAAGTATGCCAACAAGCTGACCTCATTAATGACTCTGCTGTAGTAATCGTGATAGACAAGGCAGTTAGAGGAAAGATCAGATGAGGTGTAAAACCTGTAGTATGGTTTACTGAGAGAGAGAAAGAATGTATCCGATTAGAGGTAAGCACGATAACTTACCATCCCACAGGCTGCTCGGTTGGCGCAGCTCTTTTCAGCATCTGAATCATTTGCTGGTTGAAGGAATCATCCAGCTCCAGATCGTCCCGCAATTCACTGAAGGGTATAGCGAAACAGTTGGTGACCTGGAAGATTGTCAATGAATAAATCTCACGATAGAACGAATGAGCAACCAAACCTGCACAGCATCCTTCTCATAGAAACCCATGAGAGTGCCTAGAGCCTTATCATTAACAGGTTGTCCGGCCTTTGTAGGACGTTGTCGTCGAAGGTAAGAATCAACTATCGTCATGTACACCACAGGATGTACTTTAACCGTCAAGTGCGACGCCATCCTGCCATAAAAATTGAATATTCAAAGGTGAATCCAAACCAAATCAAGTAACTCTTAAGGCAATACAATGGGTTAGCAAACCAGAGGGTCGAACAGGAAATCGAAATGTCGTCACATTTATTGCACATTACTAACGCAAAAACAGAGCCATAACTCGAGCGAGTGAGTTATTGATCACAGTCTCATGAGTAGGACTACAGTAAGTTTGTGGAAAGAGAAGGCATAAACTTGAAAAGGATATCAATAGAGAATTAACCGAAGCAGAACACCGAGTCAAACTAGACGGTATAATAGGGACGATATGCGAGGAGTACTTTTTGGACGAGGATAATGAGAAAGTTTACAGCAGAACTGGCACTGGGTTTCCGAAGCAGTCAGGAATAAGGAATGTAAGTATCTGTCGCAAGCTTTAATGTGCTTAGTGTCTCTTGCGCAATCCTTCATTTTCAGATTCCGTAGAGGTTGAAGTAGTTCCAGCACGATGAAGTTGTTCAGTAGGCATCGGAGGACGATCTGGTCCTACACCTGGGTATGGAGGAGGAGCTTCACACATGAAGACCGTATTGGACTGTGGACGATCCGGGAAAGCATGTGTAGGAGGACGAAGACCGTTGTGACCTGAAATAGCAAAATTTTATGCACATGCGTCATGACTTTATAATTTTGCCTGCACTAGACGCTCAAATCGTATCCGGAAATAAAAAACAGTGTGTTGATGAATCCTCCGTTCAAACGTGGTCAGCTAACTTCAGAAGTTTTCATCGCTCAGGATTCCCTTGGGCACATCATACCCTTCATTTCAGATTTCTCTTTTTACAGCCTCTATACAGAGTGTAGCAAAGAGTGACTCCGCCAGGGATATTAGTTAAAAGTTCAAAGACCTATGATTTTGTGAAGCTATCAGTTTTCGAAAGGGGACTGTTGAATAACTACTTCAAAAACAAAAAAAAACCGACATTTTTCAGGTTTTGAATTGACTGAAAAAGTAGAACCCACTAGGCAGAAGAATAACAAAAAAGGAGGGATACTTCCTTTTGAGAGATATCTGAAAGTGCGGCGTCCTAACAGCGGTTCTGCCGGTACATTGTGTATCCTGGTAGGGCACTGTGCATAAAGAGCCATGTGCCTGTTGTTTACTGTGAATTATTGAAGAAACATAAAACATATTCGGCAGAATTGTAAGTATTCCTCCTTTCCAGTCTAATCAATATAAACACAAAAAGTTTAACTTTTATCAAGATGGCCGCAATATATGTCCTATATTTTTGATGATAATGAATCGACGAAGATACCCTTTGTAGCCTCTCTTCGATCCTAAAAAAGAAAATGCAAGAAAAGATTGTTGAGCAGGCTTTGAAAAGTTCAAAAACGGACGCAAACATACTTTCAATTTAATCTTATAGCGAAGCACTTCTGCCTGCTAATCTGACTCTATCCTAGCGGCACAAAAATAGGATATTTACAGAAATTCTAGTGAAATAGACGTTTTGGAAACGGACACCACAAAAAGTAGAGTTGACATGCCAACCACGTTGAAGCATAGCGAAGCTTGGGTGTAGAGAATATAATAAATGGGTGTATTACGAACTCTCCAGAGCACCTGGGTCTTCGTCTATTGCTGTGTACATTCCACCCTTACTTATGTATCACCACATAAAAATGTTTTACTGGAAGTGCTTTGGACTCTCACACTGCCGCAAAACCAATGAAACCGAAGAATGCTCGCAGGTTGCAAGTTGTCTGCCTTCCCTAAAATATGGTGAAAAGCTTACCGTCAGCTGCTGGAGCATAATAATCAGGAGGAGCCGCATAGAAATAACCACTGGGAGGAGCATATGCAGGAGGTGCATTTGCAGGACGGAACCTACAAATGAGGCCTTTCTTTGAGTAGGAAAAAAATGACAAACCTAACTAACCTCTCCGCCCTGTCAACAGCTTCCAGTAGACAACGACCAAAGTCAATACAGCCTCCCTTGTTAAACGTTAGACGCCACGGGATCTCACCGTTCAGCTGCGAACCTGGCATAGCAACAGCGACGCCCTTCAGGTAGTTCGCACCTAGAATTTTATAAGTGCGTAAGAGACACTAGCCCTCATGTGTTTCAAATTAGTTTTATGTACTTTTAACTCCCACTTACCAAGAATGGGCTGTTCTAAGTGCACATCCTGCATGGAGGAGAAAGGCATTTCGAAAGATCGGAAACGTCTGCCGTCATCGGGCATGAAGATCACACGATGTGAAGTCAAATAAACCGATCCATTGAACTTGCCATCCAGATGCTGAATTTGTTTATCAGAAAAAATTTTTAAAAAAATTGTGAGCAAAATGAGAAAAAAAAGAAGAGGAAGTATGGTAGTTACGTCGTTGTTATTCTTCCCAATAGACAAAACAACGCCTTGTCCAAAAACTAGTATGACCTCTCCATTATAAATCAGAACACCTCGTCCATCGGGAGTATTTGCTGTATTAATCGACATTCTCTGAAATTGTAAATTTTATCGCAACACTCACTGCTCATACGGCTCCTAAAAATGAGTTGAATGATCGAAGTATTGCGAATAAACGGCTTTCACAAGCAATACCACAAATTATGCACATATTTTTATACAAAATGCAAATATAAAGCAACCAAGGCATGAACGGCTTGGCTTTCACTGAGCGTGATCGACATGGCTTTCATTGGGCCTATCGAAACGTAACTACAAAGGGTAAGCGTCAAAACTAGTAATCTACTCTAGTTAATAAATATTACTAAAAATCATGGATGGCTAGATTATGAAATACACCGAGAAGCTACACGAGTCAGTAAAACTCTCTACTTTTCTCGCTGAAGCTGCACCATGAACTCTTCCAGTTTCTCTTGTATTCGACGAACTTGCTCTGAAATTGGCAGCAATAATGACCACCGAGGGAATAATTCAAATTCAGTAACATTCAGTCAAGAAGCTCACTGAGTTCTTCGGCGAGATCTACTCTTCGTCCTGTAAGGAATTTTCGCTTTATTTCCGCATCCTGAGACCATTCGTCCAAAACCTCCTAGAAGTAGAAAAGATACAATATGCAGAAAAGCTCATCTTGTACTATGGAGTCAAATCAGAGCAATGCTGCTGCCTAAATGGAAGCTGGCAGGCGGAGAACGAGCAGATGTAGCTCACATAATAAAAGGGTATCAAAACTTAGTACTCGAGAGAGTATTCAAATTTGCAATCGAAAATGTCAGATTTTGGGGCATGGGTTCTTCAACAACTAGCATAAGGGATACTGCAGGCTTTGTTTATATCTTTCAATATCAATTAGAAGAAGCAAGACGCGCACAATTGCGGCGGAATAGGCCAGAAAATAACAATATCCCAGCTGTCTTCTTTGGGAAACAGAATTGAATATGAGCAGCAAGATGAAAAGTTTGAAACGTGAGACCGAGCAAAAACAGAGCGTATATCTATCACTTTGCTTTATCGAGCAAAAATCAATACATTTTTACATGGCCATCTATTACCTCACCACTGTATATATTTCCCTTGTTGGAAGCATGATAGCGGTTTTCAGACAATCTGCCTTCACTGTAAGACCTCTCGATGGAGTAATATAAAAGAATTCAGAATAGGTATATGCTCAATGTCTCAACGAACTTCCCGTTGGAGGGGATACTTGCTGTATAGGGAACTTCAATTAAGCATCCTTTCCCATTGACGTCTTCTCGCTCAATGTTCAATTCCGGGAACGCCACAGCACGGTCTACTAGATGTGAAAGAAAAGAAAGTTCTGACCTTGACTTCCTTTTCGAGCATACGTTGTTCAGCATTTGTTATCTGTTGGCGAAGAGCATTACACGTCAATTTAACCATCCGTTGAATTCTGAATGCATTTTTGAAGGTGAAGTAGTATGACAAACAAATCTTCACGAACGCATATGTCCATAATGGTAACCATATAGAGAGCCAGGTTGAAAATTCCGTCTTGTTGGACTCATACTCGAACTAGTAAGGTCGTACCAAATGACCAACTGACACGGTTTCCCTTGTAGATCGTTCGTGCAATCTGCATTACCTAGAGTCCCCAGGAGAAAGTACTGGTATGTTCAGATTTGTTAAGTTGAATGGTATGTTCCTCTCAGCTAACGACAAGAACTTGTTGCAAGATATACGCTAGGACGAGATGTTTTCGTCTGATAGTCTGAGAGGGTTGCCTGTCCATCACATAACCGAAATCAGCGCCACCCCTCTCTTTATCTCAACGATGTATTGTCATAGCGTTTTGCATATTTTAACAGCTGTCTCGTTCGCGAGTGATGAAATGATGAAAAGGACAAGCACGGTGCAAGAGAGGTACCAGCCGTCTTCGGGGCTGAATGCTTTGCATGTGGATTGGAACACCGATGATAACATAGTTGGTTCCTTCTTAGTACTGAATGGCACGAACTGAACGGTTACATAAGAGAAATGGGATGATTAAAGGGAGCAAGGAGGAACTGTACAAGTGAGACGAAAGCATTAAAAAGAATTCCCGCTCAGAGCCCCACACCACACAGCACGCAATCATGGTGATAAAATGATGTTTTGATGATAATTGGAAAGAAGACCCATGGCTAAATTGTCCGTGAGCTTGAAATAAGGCGTAAGGAAGTTGCTGGATTGACCGGGAGAAGAGAAAATGGCTTCACAACCGCTTCAGGACAAATTCGAACAAATCATGTACCTGTGGAACAACACAACTGCTTGACAATCTATGTCACCCTCGTTGAATCCTTGACGATAATGTTGATACAACGAAAGACAATCACGACCGTTCTGAGAAGCGATAGCTCTTTTACTTCAAATTTTGAAAACAGCGTATTGGAGCTAATTCATACCTGAATTATTTTTTCTAGGAAATACTTTTTGTACAAAAGGTTCCACTGTCGGCGAATTGCCTCTGTCGGAACTTCTATGACCCCTTTTGTTTCAAGATTACGTTTGATCACTAGGATGTCCTCATCGGTCAAGGATTGTTTAGGTTCCTAAAAAAGAGCTGATTTCTGGTTATCTCTGCATTGTTACAACACTCACAACATCACTGTTAAGCATGGGTACGAGCTCGTCTTGGACTGCGCTTGCAAAGTGGTTCTCAGCTGATGGAGTGTGCCAAAACACCCAACGATTGACGAAACCTGGCCCACGAGCATCTTTCAACTGTTGATTAACCACAGCCAATCGACTCGATGCGGCCTATAACAAAAGTTATTGCGAAAAAACGTGTATGCCATGAGGGTTGTGCCTACCTTGCTCATGAATTGACAAGCGGAGTCCCATGCTCTTCGGTCCGGCACTGCGCGATCCTCCATGGCATTCAATTGTATGACACGCTGCAATTATTTTTTAAACATTCTGAAACTACTGCCCAAGAAATATTGTACTTCTAGTTCAATATCAAAAAATTCAAAGAGTTCAGGAAAGATGAACAACGCTTACCAAGTAATCTAGTGCTTTGTTATCCCACTGGTGTGATGACATGGCCTCTTCTATGACAGCATCCTTCAGAGGGTCAAATATCGGATCCTGGTCACTCCGACTAGAGCCGTCATGCTTTACTTGTTTACAGAAAACCTCCCGCAACGTATCCCATCCACACTGAAAATTATTAGAATTGAATATACAAGCAAAATTGCGATTGGAAGGTGTAAAGCAGAATCTATAAACTTCAGAGGTAGGCGGAAAAACCAGAGCGCAAAATTACTTACATTTACACTTTTAACTGGAAGTTCTTTGTCTGCCCAGTGTTTAAGACGAATGTCGACCATTGTATTAAAGGTTCTAAAGACAAATAAGAATTGTGTATAGTGCTATTAGCATGGTGTAGAATATTCAGAAGAATAAAAATTGAAAGGCCATGGTCGCATACAGAATGACACTATGTTTGTGAATGAGAATGCTTGAGAATTTTAAAAAATATAAATACAAGCTTATTGCCATTGATTATCATTGACTTTGTCCCACGATCAAGCTTCTTATTTTCATAAGTTTTCATATTTTTATAAGTTATATTTCTAGGTGTTCTTTCCTACTAGTGCCCACTTATGCGGGGAGATTTTATTTAAATATTGCAATCACAATTGAGGGCAAGTAAAAGTGGCGGTAAATGACGTCATAATGTGAAGTTGCTCAAAACACTACAGTATGTGCCACAGAAAAAAAGTTCACCTACCCTGCGTTATTTACAACCCATGCAGGCATGAGGATTTGATCGAAAACATGACCAGAAACGCAATCCCACAGCTTTTTCTCCAGAGCCTTTTCCCACTCTTCGGCACTGACAAGAGATAGGTTCACAATTTCATCGAGAATTTCGCCTCGGGCCTGAATTATTAGTTCTGAAGGAATGACATTATGCTTGTTATCTAAGCCTTATTAAATGCGGAAGTGTAAAGACTGTGATTCAATAAAAGACATCTTGATAAGATTGTGATATCTTTTCGTCACACCTTGTCAAACAGTTCGTCTCTATCGAGTTGTCGAATACGTGGGAATGTGTTCCTCCATTCTGTCTCGAGATTGAACCTAAACAACTCCACTGTCCAGAGCGTTCTTGGACTACTAGCCAACTCGGATAGAAGATGGAACTCAAGTTCTAATATTTCAGTGAAAAGAAATAATTGAGATTGAATAAAAAGAGAAAAGAAATGGTTCTTCTTACATTTCCACACGACACAAGTTAGGAAATCGATACTGTAATCAAAGATCGAAAAAACCTCGTTGCGCGGAAAGCGTCAGCCTGACTCTCTATTGAGTCGCGAACCATCCTCCAGAAGCAATCTGATACCGCAAACGACATATTCTTTGTTGTCATCTGCGACGGCTTCAAGACACCATCTCTAGAGCACTAATTTTTTCACAATTATTAGCTCGTCAATTCACCTCGGTGACAATAGTGAACAATGAAGGGAATGCTGGGCAAGAACTCACTTCAACAATTGACTGTTTGCGAAGAATTCCTCCTCATACTTGTGTATCTCTTCAATAGAATCGGCGCTGTTGCCGCGACCCGTTACCACTCCAAAATAACCCAGCGCTTTCATAGGGAACAATTTTCCTTCCAAAATCTTTTTGATTCTGTCAGGGTTAGTTAGATTCTTTTCTGCCATATCAACCTGTGAAGAAAGCGATGAAAGATGTTCGAGCGCTCGAAGACACTGGTAGCGTACCTTTGTTAAAACAAGAATTGTTCTTTTCCCAGTGGGATCGATACTACTTACCAAATCAGTTACATTGCTACGTTCCGCATCTACGGAGCTAAAACAGATTAAGGTTTAGAGCTCTACAGAAATCGGCAGCAATATATAATAATTTATCTTACCCATCTTGAATGCATAAAATAATCGCATTCGGGTTTTCCATATGAGCACGGCTCATTTTGATTATGTCGTCTTTTGTTTCCCTAGCCATGTCTGCGGTTACTGTGGAAATCACGCCGGGAAGGTCAACCAAAACCATTCGTGCAAGATTTGGCCCTGAACGAAAGTGAATGCATAGAATACTCAAAATTGTTAAGTGCCCATAAAGAATATGAAACCTTTAACAGTGAGAGATATGACGTCTTGAGATACGGTATGTCCATCCTTGACAGAATTTCTCATTCGGACCTCAATTTCCGACCTCAGCTGTCTTAAGTCTTCTTCTCTGGTTAAATCGAATTCACGTGTAGAGTCTTTGAACTGCGCAACGTGATAAGGACCTTCTGATAAAGTCACCTGCAAAAACACATGTTCTGAGGCCCGCCGCAGCTGCAATTTCTTTGTTACCTTAACTGGCGCTCGAGTCATCATTTCACCTGACCCACGTGGGAAAATGCGAGCTTGGGCGACCATCTCAAGAACAGAGGTTTTGCCTGCATCAATCTTTTCATTTACGGAGAATGTAAAAGCGATGAAGTGAATTTATAGAATAGGCATTGTTTTACTCGGACATTAGAGTGTAGCAGTACCTGCACTTTGATCTCCAACAACCACGACTCTTGGCAAATTGTCTGCAGTGTCATAAGATGAGTCGTATTCACTGAGAAGATCCAATACTTCAGAATACATGTCAATTAGGGAACGCTAAAAACAAAAACAGAATAATATAACTACGGTATAGAACGGCACACCACTTCAGCAACATTTTTGAGCTCATATAAACACCATTCATCGTGTTGAACATGTCTGCCTAAGCAGGTGCTTATGCTCAACACTCAAAGCTTCTCGATATAATCACAGCTATTTGTGTGGCAAAAAGCGAATACCCAAGATAAAATCCCACTATTAATACCTTTAGTCTTTTCATGCGCTTGACAGCTCCTTGATCAGCCAGTAGAAGTCGTTGTTTCAAAACTTTGTTCTCCTTCTCTAGTCGTTCTAACTCTCGCTGATACTGACTCTGAACGACAAATGGTAGATTCACTCGAAGCATCAGCAGAAGAAATCGCCACCATCAAACAGGAAGACTGACAAAAAAGATGGAAGAGGAAACAAATTACAGCAAAAATAATAAAATCGATAAATACGGCACTGATATTTGGTGGGGTTGGACGTTCCTATGGGTGGTAAGAACAAAAGGAACACAAATGAGTAGATTGTCTTAAGACAAGTAGGGAGGTTTCTAGATTATTCAAATTTAAACAAGTTTAGTTCATTTGAAAGGCAGTTTGGCTCAATTCCCAGCACACTCACATGATACTACTGATTGAAAGTTGATCAAATTCATTTCAGCATGAGGAAACTTCTTCCTTGAATTGATGTCTCACCTGTGTTTTTAACATTTCTTCTTGCAGACGTTGTATTCGCTCATCAGAACTTTCCTCATTCTCCTTCTTCTCATCGTCCTTCTTTGCTCCGAATGCAGCCATAAACGATAGCAGTGTAGCATCTTAAAGGAATATAATATGAATATGAGAGGAATAATGGGAATATAATATGAGAAAAGAGGCAGAACTATTCAGAAATCTCAATCTAACATAAAGCTATATTCATAGTAATCTCTACCTTTCACAGGCTTCGACCCTCCACTTGAATTGCCTTCCTCTTCAGACGAACCTGTTTCTGCAAAATATTGCGTTTTTAATGGAATATTAGTTTGCAATTAAGCTGACAGCCGTATTGCTAACCTCTTGCTTTCCGAAAGCTTTCAAAACGAGCTACCCATTCTGCAAGCTTTGAATCGGAACCTTCTCCCCCGAAGCCCTTCTTCATATGGGAAAGCTGTTCTGAGAAGTCTCGCCATAGCCCTTTGGCATCAACGTTGGCCCATTCTGGTAAAGAGAAATCAGGCAAGCCTGCTTTCCATTCATCATACCACTGAAAGTACTACGTATAAATGCATTAAGGACAAAGTCCGAAATAAGTACTCACATTTCTCGCAGCAACGCTGCCTCCAATAACACCTGTAGCAATGAAGTAGCGTAGTTTCAGGAGATGACGAGCTACTCCAACAATGAACTGCCGCTCCGCTTGGATGCTGAGTGTCACATGCCGTTGCAGAAGTCTGTAAGGAAAATCACTGGCAAACTTGATGTATGAAATTGCGCAGCTGACAATAGAATGTAGATGAATACAAATACGATGCCATAATAAGTGGATGACTACGGTTGTAGAAGTAAACATATGATTTGAATGTGTAGCTCGGCATGCACTTGTTTACCTGTTGTTAAGTTTCGAGTTACGGTGATTGCTCAGACTGGTTATACCACGCCGTACGACATAACGCGCCGTATGAAGTTGCATCTCCTCGCTGCCGTTGAGCGATTGGCATCCGCTCAACCTTAATAATTTATTAAATCTAAAGCACACGAGCAAATTTATAACGCGAGAGGAAATTGATGGTGAGCATTCACAATAAAATGAGAAATTTCAATCTTGTTTTATTTTAAAACGCTTATACAGTACAGGTACAAGAGAGAGTAGAGCAAAGAAAGTCAAGAGAAGAACAGAGTGCAAATTCCATGTCACGTTAGTATGAACCATTTTTTCTAGAGTTGAACCAGCTTGAATATAAAGGAAACTCGGTGGTGCTACACCAAGAAATGTACCAAGGAAAAACACCCCTAANTAACGCGAGAGGAAATTGATGGTGAGCATTCACAATAAAATGAGAAATTTCAATCCTGCTTTATTTTAAAACGCTTATACAGTACAGGTACAAGAGAGAGTAGAGCAAAGAAAGTCAAGAGAAGAACAGAGTGCAAATTCCATGTCACGTTAGTATGAACCATTTTTTCCAGAGTTGAACCAGCTTGAATATAAAGGAAACTAGGAGGTGCTACACCAAGAAATGTACCAAGGAAAAACACCCCTAAAGGAACATCTAATACTGGACTGGCTATATTAATGAACCAGTTAGGTAGAAATGGAGTAACCCGTAGAAAAATTATGTAACTGAGTAAATTCTCCCTGTGACTTGCTATATCACCTTGCCATTTTCGTACACGATCAGGGAATTTTCGAAGGACAAGTTCCCGACCGAATAAATATGATAATAGGTAACATATTGAAGCTCCTGTAGCAGAACAAGTGCATACAAGAAGTAAAGCTATGAAGAAATTGAAGAGATAACCAGATAATATTGTTAAAAAAATCGATCCTGGAATGGCGAATGACTGAAGCATAATATATACTACAACTACTCCAAAGAAAACTGTTAGGATGTGTTGATCTCTATAATGAAGCAAGACTCTTCCAAGACTTTTCGCATCTTCCAAAGTTCTGGGATATTTGAAGTCCTTTCGATGTTTTTCGTCCATTTCAGGAAAATTGTAATATACAATCAACAGCATTAAGACGAAGCTTGCGAAGAGTCCAACAAGGACACACACCCTATTTCGATCGGTGACGAGCATCACACTGAAACACCTTTCATTGAGTTCCGTTTATCGAAGTACCTTGAACAGCCCAAGGAATTGCCAAGGAATGGGTAAAAAGCGATTGGCCCATCCATAGTACCTGTGTTCTTACGCAGAGATACGTGTAAAAACACAGGTACTATATAAACACAGGTGCGCCATGTGACACCAATCAAATAATGCGAATGGGGGAAACCATCATTGAAATGTTTGGATCGAACTCCGCATCTCAGCCGCTTTGAAACTCTGCGTGTACAAGAAGCAAAAAACATAGCGAATTCTACACAACTTGCGTACATTTTTTGTCCATTTCAATAAATAAACAACAAACTAAGACTTGAAATCAAAAACGATTCACTAGTAGGCATTTTACGCAGTCTAAGGAGGCTTTCCTAACGGAGCCAATTTCTCAAACAAATTTGCAAAACAAAGGAAATGAGAACAACAAACCTCAGCTATGTTGACTCATCATCCATGCACCTCCAATTTCTGAACTGAAGATTGTTGTTTCAAATTAAAGGGCTCGTATACGATGGCATTAGCAATGGAGCACACATTGGCGACCTGACAGTTCGAATATACGACAACTTCCAACCACAGAGGAAGATAAGCTGAAATACTATTTACAACAACGTAAGTTTGTTTTGGCTTATCCTATTGTTTTTCTAACGTAAAGTCGCATTTCGCTTGTATAATCATAAATCCCCACAAGATTGTTGCCAACGTTGTCTTCCTTCCTTAGTTTAGGAGTGTTTGCAAAAGTGTTATACCCAAAAATTTCTTATAGTTCTGTTAAACTGGGCATAGCACGAGTTTTCTATAATCGAACCTGTGAAGGAACCCTATGAAGGTTTTCGATTACGGTATTGTCCGTCACGCACAAAGTCTCAGGCTCATATGGTCGATTTCATTAGGGGAACGTTAGAAGTCATAATTTTTTTCCCAACACCAAGCGCTGGATTCGTCTTTAAAAGGTAGTAGAATAGAATGTAGATGGTTTTGGATAATCATACAATTCAAGCTCAAGGTGGTCTGAGAGGTGAATAAGAAGTAAACATGAACCATTTCATAGACCAAAACATCGGATAGAACCGATTAGTACAAAAATTCTTGAGGGAAGAAGCTGGGGACGTGTTTAGTTGCTAAGAGAAAGTAGACCTAAGATCGCACAGTAACTACTAGCACAACTTGTTCACTTTCCATGCTCCAAATAGTTACCATGGCGATAAGTACCTGTTTTTCTCAAGTGGGATTGGCGCAGAATTAGTCAGTTTTCAGAAACTGCCGATGATAAACGTATGAAGAAGTAGTACGAGCTAAGCTTCCGCATCCGATGACACAATCATGTTCGACGGTTCCAGTGGATCTTTTGCAAAATTTGAAACTTGGGTAGGAGTTTGTACTTGAATATAACGAAGCAAAACTTATTTGGAAGGATTGAGCTTCGACCTTCTTCAGGCTTGTCAGGCCTACTCGTCTTCGAACTCTCGCATACGATAATCGCCTGGATTCGCTTCGTATTCTATACAAGCATCCTATACAAAATGTTACAACTCCCATTTCCTGTATGGACATTGATCGGACGGAAAACGCATTGTGAGTATTGAAATCTATACTTCTTCACCCTTCCTCCGTTCCTTTCGTACTTTTGAAGCAATGGCTTCCTATAAGAAGCCAGACTTGGTTTGAATATTGGAAATGCTTTCAAACAACTGCTAGTAGTACGACTTCACAGAATCGAAAGGACTGGTTTTACTCAGGTGGAGTATATTCGAAAATGGTAGCCTGAAATCAAGCGCACAGCGTACTTCACAATTGTTCTAACAGAGAGTTAGGTTGTTGTCGTAGTTAGTATCCCATATCTGAGAAGAGTTGTGGGGAAGTTTAAATTGCAAACCTGTTTGGTTAATATGTAATTAATAATGTGGAACGTAATAGGCAATGTGAAGTTTACATAAGAAAGCATCTTCTTTCGTCGCACGGCCTGTTTCTTTGAAATTTGGGTTGTACTTGGGAAAGATTATAGTCCTGATCGGGCTGGTTGTTCAGTGATTAGTCAGAGGAAAAGGCTCTTGTTAGTCCTACCTAGCTGGTTGAAATGGAGGATGTATACTCCTGCCTGTTTGTAAAATTTATGAATGAAAACTGTTCAAATTTCAGTCTTCTCTGTGGAGGAATCTCTGGAAAGCTCTACTTGTCCAATCTTTACGTCAGTGACTTTTACGGTCCCGGACACAAGGAAGACCTTCCGATGCCCGCAACATTGTTGGTATCCTTTGTACTATTTAACTTCAACTATTTAATGTATATAACGAGGGTATGAAACCTTGTTATCCAGTAAAAGAACCTTCCTGCCACAATGAATAAAGTCAGGAACAGTTATTACAGCCGTCACAAAAATTTCGTAACTGGTTGTCAATGGTTTCACGACATCCGACTTTTTGTATCCGTCAGTTCCGGCGGCGATCTGACGGTTGGTTTTTCTTGCATCCGGGCGTACTATGGATTACGTTAGAGAACGTTTGCTGATGAAAACTGTCGACACCGCTCGATACCGTTGATTTAGGCATGGGATCTCACAAATTTGAGTGAATTGGAAACGTACAATGTCTGCGAGACTGGTAAATGGCGGCCTCAGCTCCACTGGAATGAGATTGACAGAACAAATCCGCTAATAGCTGTCACTAATGGATCTAATCAGATACCTCTTTATGATCTTAGGTTAGAAAAGGAATTGAACTGTGAAGGTCTGGTTTTATAAATCGTCAACTTTTTCATTGATTGCTTTCAGGGTAGGATATTTTGCTCAAGCATTGCGAAGCAAAGGAACCAGTTTAGTAAGAGCTGTGCGCTGGCTACCACACAAGCATCACATTCTGTTCTCTGGAAATGATGATGGTGCCATAGCCGTTTGGGACATCAGGTACTACGTCCTTTCTTCTTCAGGAAAAGTCTGAGTCTTTAATCCTGTTCAGCGATTTGATTTTGGAAAAAGCTCTAACTAGTTTTTTTTTTGCAGAAGCAACCGTTCAGCCCTTCTATGGAAAACTTTAAGTAAAGGTAATTGTATTCGAGCGATGCGCCTCACATCTGATGGAGCGCATGTGGTTATGGTCATGTATAGTGGAACTGTTATGCTGTACGATTCAGTGACAATGGAGCGATTGGGCACGTATGAGGTATTATTACATATGTACATATTTATTTATAAATCCCGAGCCTGGCACTCCTTTTCTATGGAAGTTGAGTCGAGTTTCCGCGTCCACTTATTTATAATGCATACAGTAATTCAAGGAAGACGGCGTAGCGGTCGTATGAAAAAAACGGGGTTGAGGGTATCATTTACTTTTCTCTTGGCTCCAAAGTGACTTTTACTTTTCGTCAGAGCGACCCTCTCCCTCTAGTTTACGAAAACATTGACTAAAGTATTACTTTTGGTATTCCTATAGAAGAAAAACTTGTGATTCCATTCACGCCTTAGCGTTCTCAGAGAAATAAAATACATTTAGTATATTGGCTGTATGTTGTATAGTTTCGTCTTGGAATTCGTTATTTTCAGTTCCGTGATCACCGCAAGTGGAGTGAAAAAATGTCAAATTCCCTTGATCAATTTGCTATATGTGATGAAGGCTCTTCTATTCGAGTAGCTTTACCAGTAGGGGAAGACATTGAATGGATAAGCTTCTCAAAGGTTTTTTTGTCGCTCCCGCTTTTGCTGCTGTTGCGAATAGCTTTATATATTACAGGGATTCCGTGAAGAACCCCGTGTTTCTCACTGCTCAACTCTCTCTGGTCATTTATCACGTGTGAATGCTTGCGTTTACCGAAATGGCTCCCAACAGGTGAGATTCCTTCAGCTTGCAATACCTCACGATTTCTTCCAGTTGCAAAGAATTTAGTTATACTCTGCTGGTGCTGATCGTAATGTGCTTTGCTGGGCTCCAGAAAGTGAACGGAATCGTCTTCATTTGGAAATTGAAACAGCGAAAGCAAGTGCAATATCGAGCGATTGGAGTGATGACGATTGATCTCGGAGAAATTGTCGACTGGATCAATTTCATATAGGAAATGCCTGTCAAAATAGGTCCCATCAAAGTGTCGTGTGCCCTTACCAGTAGGCCGAGGCGTGTTCGGGTAGGCTTATGTGGATTAAATCATTTTTGTGACCAGAGCGGCTCATTGACGATGATTCGTGTTGGTTTTCTTACGTGAATTTCGTTAACATTTTTTATGCCATAACTTGTGTAATTGTATGCTCGAAAGGTTAATCTGAGTCGTTGAGATTTTGTTGGTTCTGGGGGAAACAGTTGGGCCATCAATAGGTTAGAGTGAGGGGTGCACAGGAGGTTTTGGCCTTCTGACGCTGCTGATATTTCTTCTAGATGCAATTACTGGATTTTAGGCGTAGTGGTAGATTCACTCCAAGAATTCACCGTCGGCATATCACAGACCAAAGTGGCTGAGAGAGTGAGTGACCTCGTATCTCCAGATGTCTTTTGTTTTAGTAAGATTTCAACTATTTACGGGTTTGTACATTAGAAAACGTCCTTTTTAAGTGTTTCTGATCATTGTTGGAATCAGCATTACTATCTGTCCATACTTTTTCTCGCTCTTGATAGATCTTGATCACACTTTATTACTAATTTCTCGACGGTTGTGTTTGTAAATAACCTACGATGTGTGTTTGAAGTTCAGATGCTTCCGTTTTTCTAGAATTGCCTTATAAAAAGTGGCATATTATTTTTCGATTTCTATGGAGGGTCCTACATCAGCGGACGTCGCGGGATTAATGCTATGGAGAAGAACAAAAAGATAAAGAAGTCGTACATAATCTACAACCACTTGGCTACAAAAGCGGTAACGCTTTTTCAAAATTTATTTTGAAGTCCAAAATTGACAGCTGCTTATGAAATTGTCACTATATTCTAAATAACAAAAAGCAGTTCAAAGAATTTGATTTAAAGATAGCAGCGCCAGCTAGTGAATTTGGGGAATGCACGAGGCCTAAGAAGTGTTTGTGTATAATTCAGAATTGAAAATTTAAAAAGAAGTTTTCGCTCTGTCACTATTCCCTCCCATACTCCTACGGGCGGGGATCTGGAGAAAATGGGGACTCGATCAAATATAAGCGCATTTGATCTCGTCCTTGTTGTGATGGGCACTAGCACTATTCCTTGGTATAACGACCACATTCTTTACGAATATTGCAAAAGACATTTCCTTAAAAGAATATGCATCTGTGGAGTGAAGACAGGAGGGAAAACCTTCTTTTCGAGAGAGAATTCTTCTTTTATAACAAGTTGTTTGAAGCTTTTGATCTAAACAGCTGTCGTTCCGAACTCATCTGAAGTTAGCCCATCTCATCTAAGGGGGTGAATGTTTGGATAGATTGGGTTCGAGTACCACTGAAAGCCGGCCACTCTTTTGGGTATGATTAGCTCCATCTTTTCATGCACTCCCATCTGCACTAGAAGTCATCAAAAATGATCAGCCCAATGTGATGTTTTGATAACAGCCGGGAAAGAATCTCCGTTGTTTTCCGTAAGAGGGCAAAAAAGGGTGAGCTAATTGTCTAGTTGATTAAGGTGGGAGTGATCAGGTGAGGGTCTTCCCTTGGCTTTTCGTTCCTTATGAGATACGAAGAAGTCAAGGGAATACCCTCACCTCATCATGAGGGGCTAGAACTACTCAGAAGCTTATGGGATGAGAGACCAGGATGAGGTCTATGGAGGTGTGGGTATGTGAGGGTTCTGTAGTTGACTCATCCGTTGTCCCGCACGTATGGGTAGGGCCCGGCAGCAGATGAAACTCGGTTATTGCTGTCACATGGTCGTCGCCTCCGTCATTGCATCGCCTTCCAATTTCCCAACCTTTGGGTCCATCACCTTTAAGACCCCACCTTTGAGCCCGTCACCTTCAGACACGGTCCACTGCCGCACCTTTCTGAGGAAGTCACCAATCCTAGTAGACCGCCGTCTCGAGTCTCTCTCTGCAGACGTAGTCGAGCCACCTCAGCAGAATTCATCGTTCATAGTGCTGTGCTATAGTGCTCTGCCCCTTACCCTCTCTTTTCGAAGACATACGACCAGCTTTTATAATGGTCATGTTCTCCTTGGCCCTGATTGCTCAGCTTTATTAACTTGTTTTTCGCCTTTATAGCTCATTAATGTTCCCTCCTCATCTCTTTAATTTACTCGCCCAAATTGTGGGACTAATAGCCCTTGCTAGTCTGTCGTTATAGGGCCGCACTCTATGGCACGTCAGAGTCCTCATTGGCATTCCTCCTCGATGGCTGGCTTTTTAGCTGTAATTTTCAGATCGTTCGCTTCATTTTATAATATCTTGGTAATTCTGTAATGAGTTTCACTTTTTTGTAGAGAATCCCACAAAATGCACCTATTTTAGAAGGCGTGCAGTTCCACCGTCTGCGAAGAGCTGCGAATCGGGGGCTTGTCCCTACGTCCCGTTAGTAGCTGTGGAATGCATCGAGTCTGTTAATAATCGGCTTGTTGTTCACTCCTCAGGGAGAAAGAACGTTCTGTGCGTGACGGGCGAGAGTCGCGGATGCGTAAAGTTCTCTATGAACAACATCGTGCCTCAGTTGTCTGGGAACCTCCTAGCTTCCTCAGTAGTTTAACGATCGTAGAGTGCAGCAATAGAACTCCAAATGCTGACGATGTATGACGTGATTGTATAATATGTGGTTGGTCCCATATGGAGTGCGCCATGCCTTCAGTTCCCAATTCTTTGGTGTACCTTCCCTTTTCGGGAAGTCTTGAAAAGTGGTAGCAGTTAGTGCGCTACTGGGAGATGAATGATCCAGCTATAGCGAAGCCATACCATGCTTATGGCTAGTGATTTAGCTTGTAGCTCATCCTCAATTATGCCTTCAATGCCATGTAATGATAGGTACGATTCACGCCACTCACCTGTATCACCTGTCGTCCTTCGACCATCGATATGCTTCAGTGGTCACGTCTCTATTCGTCTTTGTCGCAAGCCAGTAATCATTGCGTTTGCTGCTGTCATGGCGTTCGCTCGACGTTCCGAGAGATCTACTCAGTAACCGCCCTGGTCCAACTGTCATCACGGAAGCGCATGCTGTATCCGCCCCACCTAATGTTAGAATCCCTGGATAAGGGCATTAGATTTTTCTTTTGTCCAAACTCTCAATTCAGGAGAGAGGTGGGGATGTGCAGAGCGCTCCTGTGGTGGTATGGTCTGATAGTCGGATCTGCAGCTGTCACTCTTTTCATAGTTCAAAATCGTTTAAGCGCTTTTGAGAAATCAAAAGAGCATTGATATATAGGGCGGCTGGTTGATGCATGGCATGTCATGAAAGAAAGCCACGTTAAAAAGGTGCCATATTTTCGGATGAATGTTGTGGCATATTTCAGGGAAGAAATTGGTCAAAACAAAACCTTACCCATCTCCAATTCAGCCAAAAAATTGATTTGTGGGATATAGTCGGTCTGTAGAACGCAGGATTATCAAAAGGCTTAGAATTACACTGAAAAGGGGTAGGCAACGGAAAATTTCTTTTTCAACAGACTTTTGAGCCTTTGCAGCAAAAACTCGCTGTTTTTGGCTCATTTCCAAAATTAGTCTTTTTCTGGTTTAGTACATGCGATTCGGAGGAGATTTGCAGAATTTCGTTGTACCGCATTGACCCCTTTTGAAGGTTGACCTCATTACTTCTGAAGTATGAAAGTAAACTTTTCGGGTCCCACTGAAGTGGATTCATTTGGTACTGCTTCCCTTTAGTACACCTTCCCTGCACGGGAACATTAGTTCCTGAACCGTACCTTACTCTACTGACTTAGTAGGTGGAAATAGGAGTCTTATTCCAGAAACCTGGGCCTTGGTGGAAAATGGGATGGGATAAGGGGTGGAGAAATTGCTGTAAGGGAAAGGGGTAGATTTAATATGTAGGTGTTTATGATGATGTTTGTCTTACCCACCCCCTCTTTCATTGCCTCTTGAACAAACGTCACTCGCTCGGCGATTATGATGACGACTATGCGGCCAACTCCCCAGCTACTCAGGAATTCACATTCCCTACTAGACATCCTTCCTATACACTTTTTTCATGTATTAATGCTCATCGTACGTCACTCATATCGCACACATGACAAGACTTCATTCAATGAGGAGGGACTTCATCAGGAAGCCCTATCGATTAACAGGAGCTCGTCCATTAGAAGTCCATTTACAAGTATTCGTGGTTGACACCTCGGAATTCATGTTTTCAGATCTCCTATACCAGCTTTCTCGGTTCCTATGGGTGGAGAGGGATACACAGCTTAGGGTGGGGGTGGGGGGAGAGGGGTAAAGTTCGAAAGATCAAAGGGGGTGAAATTCAGAAGGTCGGCAGGTGATTAAGATATTTTTTTGGCCGTAGTGTTTCATCCCTTTGACATCCCTTAGGTATTCCTGTCTCTGTTCCTTCTTGTCTTTTCTATTTCCTTGTTTACGTTGTGGTGAAGAGCTTAGCTTTTGTTTACTGGTACAGCAAGTTCTGCGAGTCAAGCAGGTGACGATTGTTGATGACTGCGGAAACTTCAGCAGTATAGTCATTAGAAATGACTCAAAATACCGTGTTACTCAGGGGTAGGGCAGGAACCTCAGGTGTCGTTTCTACAACCCAGCAGTTTACTTAGCCGCTAGGCTAGGTTGCCATAGGTTGTTTCGGTCCTGAGAGAAGAATCTAGCATCCCAGGACTTTCAGTACTTACGGGTGGTCTACAGCTTAGACATCCTCTTTCCAGGAGCATCGTTTGGTCCCGGGTGAAGCCCGGTCATTCTCCTGCATTAGAACTGGGTTAGAAACACTGGAAAGGATCCTTTTTCTAGTTTCGCAACGAGAATTTCCCATTTCTCTTTCTCAGAGTGAGTCACCCCATGACATTTCTGGTCATTTTCTTTGTTTGTCTTTTGGGACAACACAAGAGGCACGTTCTCCCCATCGGGAGGCGTTTCTGGAAGTATAATTGAAGGAAGACATGCTCAAAGTGATTACTGGTATGGG